AGCTCCCGACATTAAATGAAGCGCTACGTGGGAGGCAACCCACGACATTAAGTTATAGATTTTTTTCTTTCTTATTTATGAACATTTTTATGCGGTACAATTCAATGTTCTAAACACTACTAACTTATTCTATGTCTACTTTCAGGCTAATATAGCTTACGCTAACTTGATACTAACTATAGAGAATGCATCCCATTGATGACATGGAGGTTACCTTCAGGAACAAAGCCCAGAGGCGATGTTTCGAAGTACTAGCTCAGAGAGATATGATATTATCTATCTATCTATCTTGACGAACCCACCATGACCACCCTAGGTATTCAAGATAGTGTGATGTACTTAGTTAGGTAGGATGGGAAAAATTTGTTGTGAGGAGGAGGTTTAACACGTATCGTAGGCTAACCCTTGAGTTCTTGAGTTCCTTTTTCTATGATCCTAATATAAGGTTATGATTTAACAGAGGTCTAATTACTTTCAGACTATTTGGGACCAAATATTGTTTCACACACCGTGAGATGGCTGACCTATTAGGATTTCCTAGTGGCCCATATGTGTTTACCATAGCTCAAGAGGATGCCTTAATAGATCTTGACCTTGACTTTTTCTAGGGTAGTATATTCGGAGACCACCACCATGAACCAAATTCTATGTTTTCCGAAAACATCCACAACCCAACTATCTGCTACTTCCACAAAATCCTAGCTCACACACTCTTTGGGGAAAAGGAAAACATGACTTCAGTATCTAGAGACAAGTTGTTTATCATGTTCTGTACCTCCCAAGCTAGACTCGTGAATATTGTTACATTTATATTAGCAAACTTAGAAAGGATTTCCTGAGAGACCCATGGTTCTATCCTTATAGTAGGATTGGTTATTATGAGTGTTGCAGTCACTGGCCTAAGATACCCCTTTAACCATTTACATGCTTTAGGAGGTATATGTTTCATGCATATTAACTTCTGGTTTAACCGAGCCATCATTAAAAATTTAGGACCACAAGAGTTTGAGTTGTTAATTGATAACCAAGTGGTGTATAATTTTACACTACCTAACCATGAGAGGACAAGTGTGCACAATAGAAATAATTGGTTGTATAATTTGGACGGTCAAAGTGAGCCACCCACTCCACCTGATACCCCTCAAGATTATGAAAACCAAAATGTCATTTTCTCTTATGCTGCTTCACTCGCCTCTCGAAATAGCAATCGCAACAAAATGATCATAATTCACAATATTTACAATAAAATCGAAAACTTGCATATTTACACTAAAACTAACATGTTTACTACTAAAATGTCAAGAAAACCATTGGAAAGGGCCACAAAATATAATCAAAAGTATGCACAAATTGACCCTTAACAACTATTATCCCACAACGACATCAACATAACATTTTTCATCATCAATATGCTCAATAATCATTAATAATCATATTCAACATCATATTCATCAACAACATCCAATTAATCGTAATAATTCACAACATTGATTAAAATCATGTTAATAAACAATTCACCATAAACAACATCAAAATAGCAGCTAATAGTAGCCAAATAGTTCATAAAATTTGAAAAAATTGAATTCTCCAACTCATTACAAGCAAACAACCTAACTGCGCAACTCCCAAGCTTATGACGCCTTAGACGTCACAGGTGTGACGTCCGTCATCAACATCCAACACACGCGACCGGAAGCCATGACGGGCTACCTGTCAATGCTTCAAAGGCATGATGCCCTGGGTGTCACCAAGCTGACGCCCGTCAGCGACCCACAACAACACCAAAACACAATTTTGAAAGAGGAGACTCATGGGTTCTACCAAAATCACTTACAAACTTTCAATTTCGACCCACAATACATATTACATTCATAACAGATTAATTTAACATTTTTAACACATTTAATCCCTTAATCTCACATTATCATGTTCATTCCAAAAGCTTAAAAACCCAAAAATGGTGAACATGCCACAACAACATGAAAACATAATTAATCCACATATTAGTGCAAGAATTTCCACATCCAAAACAACATATAACATCAGAATATCATCAAACTCATAATTAAATCACAATCTCAATTATTCTATTGCGGGTTAAGGACTCCTCAATTCTACCCCTCATGCATATACCTATTATTGAATCAATTTTCCCCTTATTTGGTTTTCCTAGCTGCAATAGTAAAAATTATAGTCTTTGATTGTTCTTCCCTTCTCTCCGAAGTTCTAACATTCTATCTTCCTTGTACCTTTAATCCTCTTTTCACGTACTGATAGAAATTCCTAAACCTAAGTTATCTCTTAACCTTATATAATTAGGGTAATATAGTCATAATTATAATTTCCTCCCTTACTAACAATTACTCTTACTCCTTCGTCCCCTTTATTTCTCTTAATTTACAAATTAAACTCAGACTCCCTGTTTTATTATTCTAATTAAATAAATCATATAAAATAGTATGATTTTAATTATTAAAATAAGCTCCAATTATTCTAAATAAATTCCACTAACCTTTACATACTCTCTTCATCCCCCACCTCAAGGTCACACACTCCATCCTCCAAATTAATTTAATTAACACACATAATAATTAAATTAAAATACAATTAAATCAATTAAAATAATAACTCAAAAACTGGGGTGTTACAGTTTAAATATTAAAGACGCATGAAAGCAAACTAGGAGGCTAGAACCCATGTAAGATGATATGTGTCGAGTTCTGTAGAGATAATTGTTGTCAACAATTAATATTATATTAGTATATAAGTTGATCTCATTGTTGTAGTCAAAAGGTCCCAAACTTCACTCATTCTCTATAGAACTAAAATATCAAACTCACTGAGAAAAACAGTTTGTGAGAAATGTATGAGTCTGCGCCCACCCTTTAAATTTCTTTAAGTCTTTTCAATCAAAGTATTTATTTTATGACATTTATTATGCTTTTTTTCTATTTTATTCTCCAAAGAAATTCTGCATTGTTTTCGTTTAAACTTACATTCAGTTTGTTAACGTTTAAGTATTTAAGTTTCAGTCGCAAACACTTTTCTTTGCACTTTTCTGCACAAATTGTCTTTGAGATCTTTTTGAGTTTATTCTCTTAAGTGAACTAAAATTGTGATTGTTTACTAAAAATATCAATAAACAACATGGCAGTAATCTAGTCGCTCATCCACGTGATTGACGTGTTCGTCATAGCTTTGGTGGTTCAACAACTTCTCCAATGACCCTAAAATCCTAATATCGAGGAAACGAATGGACATGGGGTTTCTTTTTTGCTCAGAGACTAGAGCGTCTTCTTCATATCTTTCCTTCATTTGGGGAAGATAGACTTTTGAAAGAGTATGACTACCGCTTCCCCCAATCGGGATCAGAGGGATATGTTTTGTGTATATGGTGTCGCCGACATATTAGCAATCTATGGGTATCTTCTTGGTGTGTTGCTATTTTTACGGATACCGATTCATGGATGACGACTTAGTTTCTTCAAGAGGACGCTTCATGCACGGTAAGTTTCTTCATATTGACATGTTACACACTCTCTTCAATTTCGAGGAATGAAAGCAATTAGATCACTTTATTTCCTTTCATGGGCCAAGCAGGTTCTTGTCGTGAAAGATCAGATGAAAATGCTATCAAGTTTGGATCGTCCGCTATTTGAGGAATAAGAAGTGGACTTTTGGCAGCTTCAACAATAGTGGCAGTATTTTGAGGTTAAATGGCAACTCAAATGACTTTAGATGCCACCATAGTTGGGGGATTTGAGAAAGGATCTAACAGATATGAGGTTAAGATTTAAGAAAGTGATCAAGAAATAGAGGTCTGAACCTCTAACATAGAATAAGATAGCATGAAGTGAAGAAGATAAAAAATTCTAATGAAGGAGATTTGATCGTGGAAATGCACGAGAATCATATTTTGATTCTCATAGACAGTGTCACTATTATGTTATGGAACCATAATTGTTTGGTAAGCATGGAAGCATAACTTGTTAGAGTGGTCTTGAACTTTTAATGCGGTGAAAAGATGACTGACCAACACGATTAACACTCAAATTCTCATGTCAGTAAGAGAGTGAGAGAGTGAAAAAGTGACGTGTGATGAAAATGAATTTAAATACCTAAGAGGTTGCACTTTCCCCTCTCAAATAGAAAAAGCGATTGGTAACTAAAAATATAAAGTGATGCATGAATCACAATCAAGTGTCAAATGAATTTGGACGGTTGATAAGATTCACATGGACAAAATAGTCTATATTTAAAAAGAGGAAAGTCACTTATTTTAAGCACTTGACTGCTTTCGATATACCATTTAGTCTCCGTCTTGAGTCTTCCGAACCACCCAAAACAAGTTTGTTTCTAAATGACATTAAATAAAATCAAGTGGTATAACCAATTAAAAGAAGTTTTATTCAATACTTAATAACCAATATTATCTCTGTTTTTTTTATTATAAATTGTTTTGAACTTTTCACACACATATTAAAAAAAATTGTTGTATGAAAATCAGAAATTATAAATGTTTTTATAAAATTGTTCTTTAATAATGACATGAGAAAAATAAATTTATATGATTAAAAGGAGAGATAATAATTTTTTAAAAGTATAATAGAAAAAATAACATTCATTATTAATGTAAAATAACTTATATTTTAGTACCATTTCTTTTTCTTTCTAAAATGACTTATAATAACTTATATAACATCACAAATACAACCAACAAATCTAATGAAAATTTACATATATGCCAATTCAACTCATCGTAACAATTTAAGTCTCACTTAACAATGATTTAACTTTTTTTTGGTTGGTTTTCAATTAATTATTTTTTATTAAACAAATGATTTTTCTATTAGACGCATCTTATACTTAAGTTTTTTTTTGTTTTTTTTAAATAAAAATGTTAACGATAAAATTAGTGTTATTTATGGAACCATTTTCCCGCTAAAAGCAGAGAATCGCATTTCTAGAATCTTCTACCGCCATCCTCCGCCGCCGTAGCAATGGTAATCCGCTTCATCTCTTTCAACAATTTCGCTTTGCGCGTTTCGATTTTACTCTTTAATGCTCTTTTCATCTTAATTTGAACTTTATCGTTTGAATCGCTAACTTCAATAGCTAACATTTCAGTTTTATTCAATCTGTTCATTTTCAGTTGATATAATCGCTTAAGTTATGAATTATTTTGATTGATTTCAGAAAATTGACCTAGTCTAGTGCTAAATCGAATGTGGATTTGCAAATTGTGTTTCCGTGAATTGCAATTTGATTGATTTGTTTTTGATTTGATTCAGTCGAAGAAAAGAGGTTTGTCTTTGGAAGAGAAGCGAGAGAAGATGCTTCAAATCTTTTACGAATCTCAAGATTTCTACCTGGTTGGTTAAATTTACATATGGTTTATTAGCTTATTTAGAGCATGTTTGGCAATGAATCACGGATACCAGAAACACGACACGGACACCGATAATAATTTAAAAAAATAAATAAATAAAACTTAGACATAGACACACCTTTTTTAGAGGTGTCGGTGCTACGAAGATGTTTGGCAATGGATTTGACAAAATCACAGTTGCAATGTGATTTTGTTGAAGCTGCGAAATATAGTTTTTGCAAAATCACGGCGGCTCACCTTGATTATGTCAAATTCAATGTGTTTTGAAACATACACTTATATGCGTTTGTTGTTGCTATTGTTGATTTCAGCTTAAGGAGCTTGAGAAGATGGGCCCTAAGAAGGGTGTCATTTCTCAGTCTGTGAAAGATGTTGTCCAAAGCTTAGTGGATGATGACCTTGTTTCCAAAGATAAGATAGGAACTTCTGTAAGTTAACACCTCAATTTGTGATGATTCTTAGCTCTAGGACTTGCTTCGATTGACTTATTTGAACTTACCTACTTGCATAAGTTTCGTGAGACTGTTTGAGATATCTTATAAAAACAACTCATGACATCTTCTAAGTTGTTTTTAGCTTATTTTCACAAGTTCTCCAAGATAGCTTATGAAATCGATTTTAGCTTCTACAAAAACAATTTATTTATTTTATTTTTTGCCATTTATTTGAGCTTACTACAACATTACTATTTTAGGTATTAGGAAAATGATCAAAGATATCGAGTGCATGTTTGTTTTTGCTTTGTTACTCCCTCCATTTGAAGTCTTCGGTAGTTTTAATTAATTTGTGTTTCAAAACATCGAGTGTTAGTTGAAAGCTACGAAACAAGTATGTGGTAGTTTAAACCTGGAATTGGCACAACATTTCAAAGTGGAGGTATGTTTGGATTCATAGAACAAGATGGAATAGAGTGAATGTAATGAAATATGTTAGTTGGGTTTTTAATAGAGATGAAATACCATTACATTCCATTGTACTCTTTTCCATTGTATACCACTGATCCTAACATCGAAATTTAAGGTATTCATTGACCTTTGTTTTCCAACTACACCCTTAAAGTATTTATGCTCTTTGCATTGAAAAAAAGGAATTTATAAAACCCTTAATGATATTAGTAAAGATATTTTTCTACAAATATACATCAATTAAATGTTTTCTCAAAATGTACGAAAATCTTAAACTACCTAAAATGTATACATGTTATAGCTTTTGTCAAAATTATATTTTGAGAGTTCCAATGCAAAACCAAAAATGACAAGTCTTTTCTGGTTGAGTTAAGTTTCTTCCTCTAGTTGATTAATTGATTAATGGTCCTATGTTTGCCTCTCAGGTATACTTCTGGAGTCTTCCTAGCTGTGCTGGAAATCAGGTGAAGCTCTAATGGAAAAGTTACTAAAATTTGTTACTGTACCATTTTCATGTTGATATTTGTTGGTCACTGCGCTCTACTTTATCCCAAAGTAGCCTAATTACAATATTGTAAACACGATTCACAGCTTAGGAATGTGCATCAAAAACTTGATTCTGATCTGCATAGCAGTGGGAAGCGGCATGCCCAACTTGTTGAACAATGCGAGGCACTAAAGAAAGGGCGTGAGAAATCAGTGAGCTATAATGCCTACCCTACCAGATTCCAATTTCCCTGCTTTCTTAGGAATCAAACGGCTGGTCTTCATATATCCTAACACTGCATTTTTTTCTAGGATGAACGAGAGGCGGCCCTAGCAGATTTAAAAGTCATTGAGCAGAAGCATAAGGAATTGAAGGTTGGCTTATAGATTATGTGTTAGTAATGCATTATGTTTGATCTTTGTTACATGAGTTTTGTAACAGTCAAATAATATTTGACATTTGCAGAGTGAGTTGGAAAAGTATAGAGATAATGATCCGGCTGCCTTTGAAGCAATGAGTTAAGAAATGCTTCTCTTTTTCAATTTATATGAACACTTATTGAATGATTTAGAAGGTTAATCTTAATACTGTCATTGGAAATTGTGACACTGATGTATTGGTATTACTATTGGCAGAGGAAGCAATTGAAGTTGCTCATACATCAGCTAACAGATGGACAGGTTCCACTTTCTATGTTTGCACCTTCATTTTTCTACGTATATTGTGTGCGGTTATTAAATTTCTTATTTTTTTATACAATGATGATGATGCCTATTATTATCTTTTTGCTATGGCTAAACAATGCTGCAGACAATATTTTCACTCTGAAGCAATGGTGTTCAAACAACTTCCCTCAGGCTAAGGAACAACTGGAAAATATGTACAAGGAGGTCAGTCATTTCAGTTTAATGCTTAAATCTGCAAGCCCTGTGTCTAATTCTTACCCAATTATTAGGCTTCTTTTGGTTCTGAAATAGTTACAACAAATGGATTGGTATATGTTTTTTGAATGGGCTTTATAACTTGGTAATATTATCAATCTTACCACATTACATATCCTTTTATTAATCTTATAATCTAAAAGATAGCTATCTGTGATACTATCAGTCAAGTTGTTTACTTTTGTATGTCTGTTTTTTATGTCAGTCATGTATCTTGCACCTTGTGTCTCCATGCAGATTGGTATAACAGATGATTTCGACTATTTGGAGATGGCACCTCTACCATCCAAAGCAGTAGCTGAATGAATTTTACTTGGTCTATCTGAAAGCCCAATCTGGTTGCCGTGCTTCTCTCAAACACTGATAACTAAAATTTAAACTTGGTATTGCCTATGACATCAACTTTGTAGAGAAATGACTTGTATTTTTCTCTCTAGCTGTCTTAATCAGGATTAGGTTTTGAAAATATGTATATAGAAAGATTATCCTTTTCTGCTTCTTCCCTCTAGAAAGATTACTGGCTGTGCATCATGTTGTTATGGTAATTTTTCTCTTCTTTTTGCTCTAAATTACTAGTAATTTTTAGGTATAATTAGTCCTTGGGTCTCTTTCTTTGAGTGAAGTTTCGCTTTGGTCTCCGAACTAAAAAACGTTACATATTGATCCTTTAATTTAAGTTCCGTTAAACATTTTGGTCCCTTCCGTTAGTTTTTGCTAAAAAATGTTAGTTTATATGAGGTGGCATGCCAAGTAAGATTCCACATCAGTATATGTATACGTTGTCTGACATAGGGTTTCATATTTCATTGTTGCTGCTTCATTCTTCTTCCACCATTCTTCTTCATTTGTGTTCCATATTTCAACCTATTCCATCTTCATCTTCAATTAAATCCCTTTCTTCCAATTTCCTTCTACTATCTTCCAGTTTCTTCTGCAATTTGAAAATTAGGGTTGAAGCAATGTCAAAGAGTGCAAACAATGCGTCAACTTTAAACAACCATAGCTATGACACATCTGGGTCTTTGATTCATAGAAACAAGAGGATCGAGTGCTTTTGTCAAGATGAAAGTGTTCTTAGAACAGTGAATGATGTGAACAGTGTCAACAAGGGGAGAAAATTCTGGGGTTGTAAAAATTACAGAAACCACGATGAAAAGGGTTATAATTTCTTCAAGTGGTTGGATGATGAGTTTCTTGATGAAAGAGATTTGAAGTTTGAAAGACAAAAGAAGAAAATTAGGGTTGAACCTTGTGTTTGTAACAATGTATCTCAATTAGTTTTAGGGTAGTTCTATGTTATGTTTTTATGTTTGTAATAATGTACTGTTATGTTGTAACAAATTGATGAGTTTGTTTAATGAATAATGTTCTGTTATGTTGTTTCAATGAATAATATTTGAGTTCTGTTTTCACATTTTCATTGAATAATGTTTCAATATCCAACCTGTAAAATATGCAGTCCAATGACCAATATTTGTGGAAACAAACTGTAATATAAGTTGTTCAAACATGTTTGATACATAACAGATTCATTGAATAATGTCTCAATACCCAACTTGTAAAATATGCAGCCCATTGAATAATGTTTCTTAACAGGTTCAATAAAATGTTTTGATACACAACAGATTCAATAACATGTTTGATACATAACAGGTTCAAAAACATGTTTCAAAGTTTGATACATAACAGGTTCAATAACCATTCCAACATTTAATAACAGATTCAATATTTGATATACAACAAGTTCAATAAAACAAGGCAATTATAAGGCAATACATAACATGTTCAAATACCAAAAGGCCATTGTAAGGCATTACATAACAGGTTCAAAATCAAAAGGTCATTAAAAGGCAATACATAACAGATTCATATACCAAAAGGCCTCTGTAAGGCATTACATAACATGATCAAAACCAAAGGCCATTATAGGGCCACTAAAAAAAACAAAAGAGTCAGACCATTAATAGGCATTACAAAATCCTAGTAAACATAATAATATTGATCATGGTTGGCTTGAAACAGGTTTGCCACCCTTATGAAGTTTTTTCTTAGTTTTGGGTGGTGGCTGACTTGTAACAACAGGTGGTGGTGGTTGACTTGTAACAGATTGTGGTGTGGTTGACTTGTTGCAACAGGTGGTGGTGGTTGACTTGTAACAACTTGTGATGGTGTTTGACTTGTTGCAATAAGTGGTGATTGACTTGTATTAGCTTGTGATGGTTGCTGACTTGTTGCATCTTGTACCTGACTTGAACTAGCTTGTGGTTGTGGTAGTTTAGAAGTGGCCTTGTTGTGACCATCCTTGTGACACCGACTACACTTTATACGATATCTTGCCCTCTTCATGTGTGTCTCATCCCTCACCATCTCTCTAGCTTTCCTATTTCTTTTTTTCTTTGGCCTTCTAGGCTGCCTCTTTATTGGTGGTGGCTGAAGATCAACAATACTAGTCTTTGCCCACAAGACTTCCCCATTAAGTGGACATATCACATGTGCATAGAAAACAATATATTGTTCCTTCTTGTAACAGTCAGGTACAAAGTTATCAATCTCCAAATGTTGATCTTTTATGCAAGACATTGCATGACAGCAAGGAAGCCCAGTCGGCATCCATAATCTACATGAGCATTCTTTCTTGTAAAGGTTGACAGCATATTTTTCTCCATTGAGTGAAGTATGCCTCACCTCATAGTCATATTCACCTGCACGCCTGTAAACAAGTAACCATTTACAATGATAGTCAATGTAAACAGTTAGCCATTTGAAAGTAATGTTACCTCACAATCCAATAATTGGTTTTTTGTGACTCCCTTTCCATCCTCTTCTTGATGTTAGGTAGTATGGTGCCATCATATTTGGTGATCTTTTTTCTAGTGGATTCCCATCTCTGCATTATGTATACTCTAATTTCTTCCAGCATTGTCACAATGGGATTGGATCTAGCAGCCAAAAATACAGAATTGAATGCCTCTGACATATTGTTAACCAAAGTGTCACAACCTGAACTTGGCTGGAACCTTGATTTGCTTCAAAATCTTGGTGGAATTTTGATGATGTGTTTTAAGGCCTCTTCATTAACTCATTTGATTTCAAACATTATTTTCTCTCAAGCATTAACGTAACTTGCACATGCAACCCTCCACATCAACTCCTTTAATTTCAGAACAGAGAACTTTTTCCTGAAGTTACTATACAAATGTCTGCAATATAAAGTAAGTGTAAACATTACCAAGTATATCATATTCAATATGTAAGTTACAAAGGTGAGAGTAAACATTACCTAACACAGAATCTCTGGTCAACATTGCCAAGTAATTCATCAAGAGCTGACAGCAAACCCTGCATCCATAAATAAGTAAGAATGGTGGTGAAAATAAAACAATTGGCTAACAGTTACATTTCAAGGTGAAATTTTAAAACCTAACCTTTTGTTTATCACTAATGAAGGTATATGTTCTGCACAACCTGACTCCTCCCAAATCAGGTATCAATAACTCTAGAAATTAGCTCCATGAGTCTTTAGTTTCACCCTCAACAACAACATATGCAATTGGAAGCATTTGGTCATTTGGGTCCCTACCAATAATAGTTAGTGTTTATCCTCCATAGTATCCATTTAAGAAACAACCATCTAATCCTATAATAGGTCTGCAGTTGAAAAAACCGTCCTTGAAAGCTTTGAGACAAAGTGACATCCTTTGAAAGTGAGGATTCAATTAAGTAGAGTTTTCACTGCTTTCCCCTTGAACTGGTGGCTGACTTGTAATCTTCACAGTTGATCCTGGGTTTGCCCTGAATAGTTCATGGCCATAATCATGAATTCTTCTATACTGCTCTCTAAAAGAACCATCCACAATACCAACAACTAGTGTTTTAGCTTTATATGTCAATGTCTTGTTAATCTCAACATTCCACTTTTCACGTGTCTTCTCCATAATATCAGTCAACTTCAAAGTTGGATTCTCTCTAACAATTGTTTGAATCTTCTTTCTCAACCATTTTGAATTGAGGAACCTAATCTTATAATCCCTACTCCAAGTATGCTTGTCCACAATTATCCTCAATTGCCAAGTCTCCCGACCTTTAATATTTGCACAGTAAGCCTCCCATAGGCAACCTGCCTTACATTTAACTCTCATTCTTGCCTTATCATTTTTGGTAAATTTCAAGTTCCTTCCTGAATGAATGACATATGTTCTTATTGCCTCTTAAAACACCCTGTTTGTAGAAAAAAATGTACCAAGTTCCCATTTGTAGTCTTTCATTCTTTTTGGAGGTTTAAAGGTTACAAAATCATTCTTTACAACCACATCATTCTCACTGTCATACTCAATAGGCATCTTATCACTGTCATATTCCTCTATGTCACCTAAACCTCTCAAATTGTCTAGATTTACCTCACCATCACTATCTTCACCTATATCCCTGACAATGACCTTTTCCTTTCCTTTCCCATTCCCTTTCCCTTTATCTTTACCTTTCTCTTTCCTTTTCCCTTACCTTCCCATGGTTTTTTCCATTGTCTTTTCCCTTCAACTTACTTGCTGCATTCACTTCATCCTCATGAATTTCTATCTCTCCATAAATACCTATGTCGTTCTCTGAGTCTTCAAAATTTACATTCAAAGAACTGTCATCCCTTCCATCTTCTTGGTTACAGTTGACTACCTCATCTGGTTCTTGTTTACAGTTGACTACCTCATCTTGTTCTTGGTTACAGTTCAGTCCTTCATTGATTTCATCCCCTCAAACACTCATCCCTACATCCACATTCTCCTCCATTTTACAGGTGGTCCCCACATCATCCATATTGTTATAGTTTGTCTCCTCTTGGCCAACAATCATCTCAGTTTCAAAGTTGGTCCCGACATCACCCACATTTTCTTCAATTCCAACATTATCTTCAATCCCAACATTCTCCTCAACTTCATCAACTCTTGTCCCCTCTTCCACCACATCTTCTCCTAGTGTAGTCCCACATTAATTACTCCCCCTTCATGAAATTCTGGTATGCAGATCTCAGATGTCCTAAGGGATGCTAAGAACATTGATCTTTGCTAAAACAGAACAAGGACATAACATGATCATTTTGAATTCCTTTAAAAAATTAACAATGTCATGACATCTGTTGTAACATCTGCAGAATGCCAGAACTACTAGTAACAGACAGTCGATGTTATAACGGATGTTATGACATCCGCTTCTGAACAGATTATTAAAACACGTAATGAAAGTAGTAAAGAACACAGGAAATTGTTTACCCAGTTCGGTGCAACATCACCTACATCTAGGGGCAACCAAGCTAG